AATACTAAAACTTACAATGAGTTCAGATATTTCTTGACCATAGTAAATGACTATACAAGGGCTACTTGGACTCACCTTCTTTCTTGTAAAAGCAATGTACTTTCCATCATTAAGGCTTTTACAACCACCATCAAAGTGCATTTTAAATCCCCTATTAAAACTTTTAGGTCAGACAATGCTCTTGAACTTGGGGACAGTTCTGAAGGAACTCATTTCTTTAATAGTGAAGGGATTTTACACCAAACTGCCATTTCACACACTCCTTAACAGAATGGAGTTGTAGAAAGAAAACACAAACATCTACTTGAGGTGTCCAGAGCTCTTCTTTTCCAATCTAATCTTCCTTCTAAATATTAGGGTGATTGTGTCCTAAATGCAACTTACCTCATCAATAGAATGCCTTCATCTGTCATTCAGAACCTTTCACCCTATGAAAAATTACATGGAATTCTTCCATCCTATGAACACCTCAAGTCCTTTGAGTGCCTATGTTTTGCCACCTCTCCCTACAAGTCTGATTCCTCTCTTGTTCTGTTTCCTCTGCCTACTCCTGGTTTTGTAGATGTCCTACCTACTCCTGTTTCTCATACTCATGGGAGTGACCCTTCTCCTTCTACCAACTCTTCTTCCAGTCCAACTCCTAGTTCTCCTACCCCTTCTTTCCCTTCCTTTCATCATTCTCCAGTCTCTCTACCTGCTCCTTCCTCTTCTCCATCTTTCTCCTTATCTGCTCCTTCAACTACTCCTCTTTTTATTCCTCTAAGGAGATCTTCTAGACCAGTCCTACAGCCTGTTTACCTTAAAGACTATGTCTGTTCATCTGTACTCTCACCTGCATTTACACCATCTACCAAGGTATCTTCTATTGATTTGCACATGTATAAGCCTCAGTTTTACCAACAGGCTGTTTCCAATCCTACTTGGCAAGAGTCTATGCTAAAGGAATTTCAAGCTCTTGAGGCAAATCAGTCATAGGAGATAGTGCCTCTTCCTCCTCATAAAAAGGTATTCCTTGTAAATGGGTGTATAAAATTAAACAAAAAACTGATGGGTCTATTGAAAGGTATAAAGAAAGACTAGTTATAAGGAGTGATTCTCAACATGAGCGTATTGACTTTACAGAAACTTTTTCACCTGTTGTTAAGCTCACCACTATCAAATGCTTACTAACTTTGGCTACCAAGAACAAGTGGACTATTTTTCAGCTTGATGTTAAAATGCATTTTTGCATGGTGATCTCCATAAGGAGGTCTATATGAAGGTACCCCCTGGTCTTGATATCTCTAGTTCTTCTTCTTCTTCTTCTTCCTCTTCGTCTTCTTCTTCTTCTTCTTCTTCTTCTTCTTCTTCTTCTTCTTCTTCTTCTTCTTCTTCTTCTTCTTCTTCTTCTTCTCCTCCTCCTCCTCCTTTGGTTTGCAAGCTCAAGAAGTCCCTTTATGGCCTTAGGCAAGCCTCCAAACAATGGTTTTCTAAATTGCCCGAAGCTTTGCTCTCCAAAGGCTACATTTCAAGTCTCAATGATTACTCCTTATCCACCAAATCTACTTCTGATTCTCTGGTTGTGTTAGTTGTGTATATTGATATTATTCTGTTAGCTGGAAATGATTTATCTAAAATGCAGTCTTTAAAGTCTTATTTGGATGCCACTTTTAAGATCAAAGATTTGGGTTCAGTGCATTACTTTCTGGGGTTGGAGATCTCTCTTCATCCTCAAGGATACATTATGAGTCAACAAAATTCACATCTGATCTTCTCTCTGAGTTCAATTTGTCAATATTTTTCTCCTGTTTGACCCCCTTGGACCCTTCTCTCAAGCTCACTATGGACATGGGGGAGCCTATCTCTGATCCTAGCTTATATAGAAAATTGGTCGGGAAGCTGAATTTTTTGCAAAACACCAGACCCGATATATCTTTTTCAGTACAACATTTGAGTCAATTTCTACAAAAGCCTCAAGTTCCTCATATGATGGCTTCTTTGCATGTCCTTTGATATCTCATGAATGATCCTGCTCAAGGTGTTCTCCTCTCAAGTTCTCCAGATTTTTCACTTCTAGCATACTCTGATTCTGATTGGGCTTCTTATGTGGTGTCTCACAAATCTGTTAGTGGATACTATATTACTGTTGGTGGCAACCCTGTTTCTTGGAAGTGTAAAAAGCAACATACCATTTCTCTATCCTCTGCTGAGGCTGAATATCGGGCCCTTTGAAAAATAGCTGATGAAATTTCTTGGCTGGTTAGACTTTTGGGCGATTTTGATTTGCTCATCCCAGCCCAGTTTCTGTGTTTTGTGACTCACAGGCTGCTTTACACATGGCTAAGAATCCTGTCTTCCACGAGCGTATGAAGCATATTGAGATTGATTTCCACTATATCCGCCAATACTTGTCTTCTGGTTTGCTTTCTCTTCATTTTGTTTCTTCCCCGGATCAATTGGCTGATATTATGACCAAAGCTCTCACTGAGCAACCTCATCATGAGCTTCTTTCCAAGCTTGGTGTGATATCACCCTCAACCTTGAGGAGGGGGGGGGGGTGTTAACCAGAGTGTGATTCCAGCCCAATCCAACAAAGAAAAGCAGCTGGCCCACTAGTGTTACTGAAGAGAAGCGGCCCACTTATACATTTACATGTATTGTACATTTTTTACTTGTATTTTTTATTTTTATATACCTGTAAATATAAAAAGAATAATATCTGGGAAGTGAATTAGTTTTTGGTCAATAGTCATTTTGACCAGCTCACATTTTCTCTCGAACCTTCTGTATCTCTCTTCTCTCTTCTCTCAATGTTAGGATTTTCTCTTTATTTGTTCCGCCGTAGCTAATCTTTGTACCAAATTAACATTTGGCAATTGTGATTAGAAACTCTTTGTAATAAGATTGCTAGAACACTTGAAATAAAAGCGTAACTAACTTGACACAACTAATTAAATTATATTGATAACAAAAAAGTTTAAACATTATTAATGTATATGACTTTTTTTTTTTCTTTTTCGTTGAGTAGCAAAATATTAAAAATATATGTAGAGAGAAGAATCACAAAAATGGAGAATACGTGATGGAGATGTTTTCAAACGATATGGAATAATGATTCTAGAAGTTTAATCCAGACAGACTTACGGCAAGGTTTGGAATAAGTGAGACGTTAAATAAATCTTAAACTGGCGTGTTAATTTGGTTTTGCTTTACTTTTTAAAGAAGCTTTTGAATATATTTAGAGAAAAAGTTCTAAACGAATATGTTTTTGAAGGAGAAAAAGTATGTGACGAGGGAGTGGAATGAGCTGTTGGAGTTCCAAATAATACAACAATAATTGCAGTTTAGAATATACGATTTTCCTTTACCATTAATTTAGAGATTTATTCTTAAAGACAAAATCCTGCAATTAACCATAATCATCGCATTTCTCACCAAATGAGGCTAATTGTCAAAGTCAAATGTTGGAGTTACGATATTTCTAGCCTAAATAATGTGCTATTTATACATCATGCCTCTTACAATTTTGAATATAAGAAAATCACTTTTTTAAATTTTTTATATATAAATAATAGATTTCTTACGTGTAAAAGTAAATCTCTCATATGTTAAAAAAAAAAAAGGAAAGAGAGAGAGGTCATAAAACTAAACACAAGCTTGTAAAGAGCCAAAAATCAATATAACTTGTAAGGTTTTTCTCATGAGTATGTGTAATGGTGCTTTATTTACAATGATTACGCCATACGCATATATATGATATGTATCTTTACTTAATTTTTTTAACAATTTTCTTTTTATGATTGACTATTATGTCAATTTCACATCAACTACCAATTAATTATAATAAATTAGTATGATTTGGTACAAATAAATTATTCCCCTCCCTACTAATTTTCTCCTTTATTGATGAGTTCCATCTTTCATTAGTCCCTCGGGCCTCAACCTAGATTAAATGAAGTTATTAGACTAAAATACATGATGATTAATTAATTATAATTCTTGTAAGCTTTTCAACATATTTGTAAGTTAAAATCATGTTTACAGTCTAAGTGTGATTCTTTCTTGTGTTTGATGATCTAAATTATGTACATTATACTAATCAATTTACCATGATTTTTCACGTGAGAACTCGGCATACTTCTTTTCAAATATCAGATTCTCAGCTTACAATTTAGTTATTCTGTGGGAGTATATTCCAAAATAACATGTTCTTACCTTACACTTTATTGAATAGCAGGTTAATATAGTAAAAGTTGCATTCTAGAAAGTGCATGATCTAATCCTTGCCCACAAGTAACTCCTCAACACAAAAAAGGAGAAAAGGTTAACCTTTATATCCTAGGTTACAACAAGTACTTACACGATTTGATAATTATATCTTATCCACTAAGTAAATATATTTCAAAATCAAATAATATTTCGACTTAGTAGGCGTTTCGACAATATTTAATTAAAGTTGAAAAATTATAGCATTTGAAGTTTAAAAAAATAGGAGTTAAGTTATATACATTGATCGTTTAAAGAATTTTATATTATCAATCCAATTTAATTGACTATAGCAGATTATTATTCTATTTTTAAGGTTGTTAATTATATCAAGTTTGTTCGAAAATTTTACTTCTTAGTGTTAGTCAACTTAACCTAATGGCTAAAATATTTGGGACAACATACAAAATTGATCAATCGGTCAAAACTAATTGCATTTGCTAGCTTAAAAGGGACAAAAATTTTGTGGGTTATGATATTTGTGTTGCTATAAAGCTTGTTATTAAGGATAAAATTGGTAAAATAAAATGTTTTATTTTTAAATATAAAAATGTATTATTTTTTTTTGAAACGGACTAATAATGAAGGCGTGATAGTAAGTTTTTGTCCCTTTGTTTTTTGAGATATTAAAAAATACAATGTTCTGCGCAGTACGTTACGTAGGACCGTCGGTGAGAATAGTTCATAGGTCCACTCGAATTTTCTTATTATTTCCTTTTTCTATTAGAGATGTCCATTTCCACGCTGCCGCTACAAGTTGTCAACTTCCCAGAACCCGCGTAAAATAACAGTCAAAACAACCCCCACTTTTTTTTTTCTTCCAAATCCAAAAACTCCATTTTTTGCCAATCCTTTCAATTCTGTAATCTTTACAAGAAAAGCCATGTACCGTTCATCAAGTACCACACGAGTATCTGACGAGTTCTTTTCTCCAAATCTCAAATCAACAATTACATCTACTGAAACTGAAGAACTTCCAACTTTCAACCCTCATTCGCACGTTGCTAAAAAAGAAAGAAATCGACTCAGATCTGCTGAAAATTCCATTCATCTCATCCCTTTAATTCTGCTGCTTTCTGCTTTCATTTTGTGGGTTTTCTCTAGCCCTGGTAATCTTTACTAAAACCCCCCAAAAAACTCAGTATCTTCTGTTTTGCTTCTTCTGAATCTGTTTAAAGATTCTTTTTATGATATGTAGATTTGGTTTTATTCATGTACAGCTGAATTTTGCCGACCCATTCGGTTATACTTCGTCTTTTTTACTTTGTAATGGAATAATGTGGAAACAAGATGGAGATTGGATGTGAATTTGTAAATGGCATCTTTTGATAGTAGAAATCAGATCTTTTGCCTATAGAAGAGACATTACGACTCGAATGTTTCTTTTCTTTTCCTTTTTGTCGTTGGTACTTTGGATTATATGGATGCACTTTCATGTTTTTGGGGGTTCTCTGTTGTCTGTATTTAAGATAAAGTTGGAGTTTTGTGGATAATTTTTTCCCCCCACATTGAACATTTGACTAGATTTCCAGCTTTCTGCTTGCTAATGTGTAACGTGTTAACAGGAGTATTTCATCAATAGGCAATATTGGCTGCTCGTAATTTTTTTATAGTCGGTAAATGATCATGGAATTCACTCGAAATGATCATACATATAGAAATTGAGAACTAGCTATATAACAGATCAACCATCATCATATCCATACATTGTTTAGTTGAGAGATTTGTCATTGAACTATCAAGACAGAATTGTTCGAAAAATTTCCAGAATAACTTTCTGTCAACATACCAGTTTGTGATGACGGTCATAGTCCATCTGTCTAGATTATTCTGCTATTATATAATGTGGTCTCTAGCTCTGAGGTACATTAGACAATTCCCAAATATTTGTTGTTTGGTTTTTCCCTCGAGGTAGGGTAAGGTCTGCGTACATACTACCCTCCCCAGACCTCGCTAGTGGGATTTTACTGGGTCGTTTTTGTTGTTGTTATTGTTATTTGTTTTTTGTGTTTTGGTTCTGAGGCAACACAATTGACTGTTTCCTCTACTGTTCTTTGCATTGTATTGTATACTTCTAGTTGAGTTATCCCCATTTTTACCCATTTTTGTTGGACCTTAAAATGTTAATGTTTTATCTATGCCGCCATTATTCTGAATGAGAAAAATTGCCTATGACTATCAATTTGCTGTTAAGACATATTTCTATCCTGCACAGCAGTTACTATGGTGAATAAAGCTGATTCAATTGTTGCCAGAGTCAACACTTCTGTAACTCAAGCTGAAATCAACAGAAGCAGTTTCACGTCAAAGCTGGAAGAGGAGGACATCGATCCAACTGATAAGTCGATAGGTCAAGAAAATAATGAAGCTGAAGGATGACAAGAATGAAGTTCCTTCACTCATCTAGAATAGACATCATCGATCGTGGTTCTTATGTTAAATTAGTGAACTGTATACAACATATATATATAGGTGACATCCCGCTGGCATTTTGGAAAAAAATTAACAATTGTCCCAAAGTGTAGCGATAAAAGAAAGTGTTATAGTGAATGGTTTCCCCCTTTTGTAATGCTGAAGTATATTCTGATTTCTGATACAGAAGCATAAGTACAGCTATTAGCATGTTTCTTGATATGAAGAATGAATTACAAAACAGGATTTTACTTTAATACACTCTGCCTACTGTAATTTGGGGAAACTTTTATTGGCAAGCTATTGCTAAGTATTCCTCCCTCTAAAACTAATGTTTGTTTCTTTTAGTTTGCTCGAATTCATAATTGGCATGTCTCGTCAATGTTCTGGGCTTAAGCAGCTTAGGCACAATGATGTTATTTCTAACAGAACATATCAGTTTATTCTCAGACTGCAGCAATGCTCCCACGCGATTTGCCATTACTGTTAATGGAAAGACACGGCGCCATCTTTCATTTCCATATGCTTTGAATGCCTCCTCCACAGAAATATGTTTAGATTTCATTGCTTCTGCTAGCTTTTCTGTCAAAACTATCGAATCCTCCAATGCACAACAAGCACCTTGACCAATGTTTGGTGTCATTGGATGCCATGCATCTCCAACGAGCACGGTTCTTCCAATAGAAGGCGGAGGACTTATTAAGGGCCAGAGCCATCGGTCATAAAGGGGATTTCTTGTTAATGTGTCGTCTGCTGTACAATTAATCAGGGTTAACATGTCCGCGACTTGCCAATCTCTAACGAGCTCTTTAGCTTGCTGCCTCAAAATAGATGGATCTGTGATTCTTGGACCTGCAAAAGAGATTCAAAAGTTGTAAGGGTGTTAGCAGAAAAGTGCTGGCCAACTTGTCAATCTGGTTTAACTCTAGTTTGATTAACTGGTGTCACATGCGAAACATTTGCTGTCAATAACATGGAATAACAACCCCACACTAAATAGAACAAAAGTTGGAAGCCTATCATGTGCTCTGTCTTAAAAGGCAAAATTGGGACTCGCCCCGGGGCGGAGCACTCGCAAAACGCCCCCGGGCTTATGTGTGGGGCTTAGTTCCGTGAGACTTACGCCTCGGCTGTTGGGGCTTACGCCCCGAACACGCCCCAACGCCCAACGTACTGGGTTCGCTTAATAGAATTATATGCAATTGTATGTAACTAACCTTGTAAATCCTCAAATTTTCTTAATAAATTGTTGACTATTCAAAATTACTTTTTTTTAATCATTAATCATTAAGTTGAGAGTATTTTATGTCATAATTAAAATAAAAATTATTGCACGTTATCCACTAAGACTTCTATGATAGTAAATTTTAAATAAATCTTTCATTTAAAAGTATTTATTTATTAACTTTTGTTATGTCTTTATTATATAATAGTCCATAATTTTTTTTATAAATATTTTCCTAAATATTATTTTTTTCACATTTACGAGATACAATACTTATTAATTTAATAGCCCATTATTAGCTAGTAACTATTTACAAATAATTAGTTATCATGGTGAATTATGTGTCAGTTTATTAACTTGTTGAAACTTAAAAATAAATGATGCTAGAGAATCATATTTAAATTGTGAATTATGTTTTTATATAAATTCTCTTTCAAATAGAAAGCATATTAAATAAAAGAATTATTTTAAAAAAATAACAAACTATAATATCGAAATTCTTTCAAGATTCATTACTCCTTCAGAGATACATATAAGATTTCACATCAAATACATTACTTTTGATGTTTGAGTTATAACGACGTTGCAACAAATTTGCATCTTATGATATATGTCATACTTTTCATACATAGTTGGATTATAATTTATAAATATTTTAAATAGATTATTTTTATAATTTTGTGATTCTATTGTAATTTTTATAATTATTTTATATTTTATACCATCTTAAAATTCTTGAAATTAGTAAAATTTAAAGATCCGTGGGACTTACGCCCCGTGTCTCAGGGCTTACGCCTCGCCTCATCAGAGGTAAAACGCCCCGCCTCATGCCCCCTCCTCTTAAAACATTGATCATATGCACATGAGGCATTTTTACTCCTGAGTCTTTTGGCCCACTGGTGAAATAGTAAGTGCTGAAATTTAAACTCAAACGTCTGATCTTTTCAATTGATTGTCACTTTAATAGGCACATTTTGCAGATGTCCAGTGGCCAATATGTCATAGCCTCAATTGAGGTGTCTAAATATTGGCAAGTTTAGGGGCCTGTCTATGTATTCCAACATTAATGTTATTGAGCCCCCCACCAACAAGGTTGAAATTCAGGTAACCAACCAATTAGGCTACCATGATTTACCCTATCTACAACAATCTGATTCTAACATTTTAGCCGGTTAACATAGATGTAATCCGAAAAGAAGTACCTAAGTTTGATGCAGAGATGAAGAGCTAGAACTGACAGTAGATTTTATGAAGCATATACCTGGAGATGAGCTGTTGCAGATGACAAACCAATAGACCTTTGTTTTAGAAGCAGGAACATATCCAGTACGTAATCCTCTTCCATAGGTATAGTTTACTCTTGGTTCATATGGCTGTCCTTCAGGAAAATGTCCTAGGCCTCGGAATGCAATATGCCCTGCATACTTAGGCTCTCGAAATCCCATCCACCTAGCCGTTGGTGACCAGACGCCATCACAAGCGATCACTACCTGTGGAGAGTGTTGATAATATAATTAAAGTCAATAAAAATGTACCCTCTAATAGCTTGAAGCTTTTGGATGAGATAGTCACACAATTCAGTATGATATTAGAGCAGACAGAGATCATGAGTTCAAGTATCACTGCCACTCATTATTAAAAAAGAATTTTCACGAGCTTAGTCCATGAGGGGATGAAGTTGCAGGATCAAGCTAGATAAATATGTCTATTTGGCAGTTAGGAACAGGTCTATGCAATAATAGCATGCAGATTTACCTCAGCAGATAATCGAGTTCCATCCTCAAGTTGCAATAAGGTATTACTACCATTTTCACTTGTTTCAATCTTTGCCAACTTTGAGGAAAAAGAAATAGCATCTGGTGGTAGCTTACTGGCTAGTGTTTCAAGTAAGACTCTCCTCTCCACGACCCGCAGTTCTTGGCTGTTGCATTTTCATGGGATCAGCAGCAGAAGAAGAAGATTAAAGAGTTGCATTGAAAAACACATCAATTGGAAAAGAACCATCACGTAGTATTACCTTTTGTCCTCATCTTTGAACCCGAAGGCGTTCAACTCCTTTCCATCATCTGATTTTATTACTATCCTGCAAAGCATATGGCATCAACAATGAAAAGCAGATTACCTTTTGTCCTCAATCTTTTCATGATTAAAACTGGTTAATTAATTGAGAGATATGAAGTTGTGTGCTAGTCACACTGATTTACATTACACGATTCCAGACCCCACTAGTGGGATTACACTGGGTTGTTGTTGATTCTGTATGTCAAACAGAACTCCCACTATCAACTATAGTTCTATCAAGATTGAAATATCACTATAGTTCTATTTAATCGGAGCGTAACTGTTGTTTTGAGCCCCTAAGCGTCTGACAGAGGAGACGGATATAGGAGTTTAAGTTAGGTGTCGCTTTTGTGACAATAGATGCAAACCCCAAATCTATGCAAACTTACTAAAACATTTATATTTAAAACTTACTAAAGTTCGAGTTGAAAGCAATTAGTGTTACACCTACATCTATCACAGCCAGCTATCAGCCAATGCTCCATATAAAAGGGATATGCGCTATGCGTGGGGTCCGGGAAGAGCCAATGCTCGATATATTTAACAAAATAAATTAGCAATTGTTTTGGCTAAAACAGAACAGTTATAGGAACATACCCTTGAATTTCAAGAAACTGACTCCTAATTTCATCACCAACTCCAATAGCATCAAGTGCTTTCCATCCATTTTTAGAAAGTGTTATTGAACTTCCTTCAGTTCTCAATGACTCAGCTTGCTCAAGCACCACGCTTCTAATACCAAACCTAAAAATAACAACTCACACAATCAATTTGGTATATTAAAAAAAAAAAGAATAATCATTTAGACGCAAATTAGGTTTGTGAAGTTAATTAATAAACCTGTGAAGTGAAACAGCAGAAGCAAGGCCAGCAATTCCTGCACCAACTATTACAATATCTTCTTTTCTATCATTAGCTTTAGCATTTACAGTTGAGACAGACATGGGTCTGATCACTCCAACTCTAGGTGTTTGACATATTTTTCTTTGGAAATAACTAGACACGTTTGAGGAAGAAAGAGATACGCGCGACTTGGCATTTTGTAGAATCGAAGAGATTAAAGCCATTGTCAAGATTCAAGAAGGAAGACTATAGAGGGAAAATAAATTTAAGAGGGTTATATATGTGCATATAGAAGAGGAGTTATGTTGACATATAAATGTGAGTGAAAATCCACTATTGGATGTTCCCAAATATGGTGCGAGGTTTAACTTGTGTTGGGAGGCGGAGCTACGATTTGAACATTTTAAGTTACTTTCTAAATTAATACGTAATTTGTACATATTCATTATATTTTTAATACAAATATAAAATTTGAACAAAAACTACTGGGTTCAGCCGAACCTGCAACCAACATTGGCTCCGCCCCTGCTTCTGTTACTAAAATGTTTTTCTTACACCATCATAACATTATGTAACGGTATACCGTATAAGTAATCATAATTTTAAGTCGATGATTTTGACCTTAAGGTTTTTCACACAAAATATATTTATAAAATTAGGGATTTTATCAATTCGTATCGAAAGTATTGAATTCAGATGTACGTTGGTATAGTCAATGTACACCAATAATCAAGATACGCCTCCCATTACGACCAAGAAAAGTCTTGTTTTTTGTACAAAAGTTGGACACGATAATGACTCAAAGACTTGTGTATGAAAAGTTGGTTGCTATTTATCTAGTTGGAGTTGGACCCGGAAGCAAAAAAATATATCTTGATATGTGGCCACCGTCCACCCAATAATATATGATGATTAGATGTGAAGGAAATTTAACTAATGAAAATTGGACAACTATTTAAAGCTAATTGCTAGAGATAACTCAGGAGGTTCGAATTGTAAAGGTCAAAAAGTAAGAGGAGTCCAAACTTTTCACGTGTTTTTTAATTAATAAGATTCAATAAAATCTTAGATCGTTTTCCAATTTTATGTGCTTAGAATTGTCAATAGTTCCACCTCGGAAAAGTTAAA